TATATATATATATATATATATATATATATATATATATATATATATATATATATATATATATATATATATATATATATATATATATATATATATATATATATATATATATCAACTTAACTTATATAGTATTCTTTGTTTTATATACAAATGTAAAATAAAATTATTTCCGTCTCCTTTTTATAGTTTCATAGTTTTCATAGTTAAACATATGTTTAAACCATTCTTTTTTCTTAAGAGAGGCTTTGAGTGAGTGAGTTGATCATAAGAATTAACTAAACGTGCTATATGTTTCTGATGACGATGAAGGTTCTAGTTTACTTTTGTTAGTTCTGCCCCACGCAATATTTGCATAGTTAACATGGCAGTGAATAATTGAATAATATAGTTGCATTAAAGTACGCATGTTTAAATAGCTTTTTGCTTTGTATAATATTTCAATACTTTTTGAAATTTTGTTTTTTTTTAAATTTTCGATGTGCTGTCTCCATGTAAGATTTTCATGAATATATATATTCCTAAAAACTATGTAGTTTTTACTTATTTTACTTAAATTTTATCAATGAATATAGATGGGGTTTCGAATGTTATTTGTTTTTCTTTAAAAAGTGGGTGAAATAGAGTCCAGTTAGTTTTGTTAATATTTTCTAAAAGTTTATTTACTTTGAACCATTCAGAAATTTTTTTAAGTTCTAAGTTCATAATTTTAAATAAAAATGTAATGTCAAATAATAATAGTAATTTTGCTGTGCGATAAAAACAAATTTGTGTCGTCGGCAAACATTATTGTCCTCAGGCTGGATGCTTTGTGGAGATCATTGACATATATAAGAAAAAGAAGAGGTCCGAGTACAGAACCTTATGGCACGCCACAAGTAATGTTTAGTAATGTTTTTGGAGATTCATCGTCAACGTGTACATATTTAGTACGACTATTTAAATAACTCTTTACCCATTTTAAAACGAGTCCTGTGATTATTTATTTATACCCATTTTAAAACGACTCCTGTGATCCATATAGTTCAAGCTTTTTAATAAGAATTTGATGGTCAATAGTATCAAAAGCTTTCAATAAATCAATAAAAATTCCTAATGTATATTCAGATTTACTAAACGACTCGTTAATACTTCGTGTAAACTGAAGTATTGCAAGTTCGGTGGAGTTATTTTTTTTGAAAACATATTGATTATTAAATAAAATATTATTTACTGAAAGATGAATGTTGATTTTTTTAAATATAAAATTATCTCTGAAATTTTTGAAAATTCAGGAAGAACATAGATAGGGTGATAGTTGTTTTTATAAGTTGCATCGCCTCCTTTGAATATCGGCGTTACTTTGGCAATTTTAAGTTGATCAGGTAAAACTCCTTGGTTAACGCAAGACAAAAAGATTTAAATAGAATATTTTTAATAAAATTGTAATAATTTCTAACAACATTTCCGTTCATACCGCCGAATTCTTTAAAGGATGTTCCAATGCAATTAAGGTTTGTTGTTTTTTGAGGTAAAAATTTAAAAGTATTACTAGTATATGGAATATTTTTTGCTAAGTTAAGCCCCGTTATAATAAAAAGCTTATTTAATTCAACTGAAATACCGCTTGAAGCACGTAAAATTTTATCATTTACTTTAATACCGTTAGGCAAAGTTTCTTAATTAGTTTTAGCTTTACCAGTGATTTCTTTTAAAACTTGCCAAGTGCGTTTTGAGTTGTTTTTATTTTTTTCAACTAAGTCAAGTATTTTTTCTTTAAATTTTTTCTTTGTCTTTCGAATTCTCTAGCATAATTTTTGTTAATGACTTTATTTCCAACTGATTTAGATTTCAAGGGGATATTATTTTTTAGTTTTTGGTTTAATTCAATTTTAGGAAAATTTGCGTCATAAATATCGTAGAATGTTTTAAAAAAATTACTAAGTTTGCCTCCTGAGAATGATCAATATGTTGCCAATGAAGCATTGATAATTGGTCATTAAATGGCGCTATTTTAAATGCGTTTACAAAGTTATTTTTTTTATTTAGTATTAATTTAGAATCTGAATTTATGGAAAATAAAATCTGAGAATTATCCGTGATATTGCATTTAATGGTTCTTTTTTTAAGAGAATGATTAAAAATACCGTTCGTTAAGATGTTGTCAATTAATGAGGTCGTTGATTTACTTATTCTTGTCGGTTTCGTTATTAGCGGAAACGCTCTGTTTTTAAACAAGCCATTCCAAAACACTTAAATATTGTACTTGACGTGACACTGTAGACAATCCAAATTAAAATTACCAATTAAATAGTTTAATTTCTTTTCGTGGTTACTTTTTTTAAAAATAACTTCATTTAAAAAAGTATTAAAATACTTAATTACACCAGTTGGTGGGCGATAAAAGCAATTCAAAAGCATATTTTTCTTTTTTTTGGGTAATATTTCGTTTGTTAAAACCTCTTTATCGTCATCAGAAACGTTTAAGTCAAGTTTATTAATAAACTGCAGGGTTTTTTTTATATAAATCAAAATATCGCCGTCGTGTTTTTTTGTTTTACGCTTTAGTGAAGTAACAGTGAAACCTGGTAAAAAAAAATTCGAATAAAGTTTTTGCTTTGTTAGAATTTTACCAAGTTTCTTTAATGCATATTACGTTACAAACATCGATAATATCCTCCATATTATTAAAAAACCCTTCAAAATTTTTGTTTACTCTTCTTACATTAGTATACTACAACTGGTCGCGCTCAAGAAATCCTTTTATTTAATTGTTAAAAAAAATAAGAGCAGTTACTCTGCAAAGAATTAGATTCATTAAAATAACTTAGATTTTGGCGAGAACTTTCATCAATCAAAAAATTATTTGTTTGGAAAAAATTTAGAGAAGTTATTTCAAAATTTAGTTCACTTAAAGACATTTTAGTTATAGTTAGTAATTAACAAACAAATAAAAGAATTTCTATCAAAACTCACGTGTAATTAATTTGTTATAAATCACCTTTGGAAATTATTTTTCTATTTTTCCTATTTTTTTGCAACTCTTTTGCTTCTAAAAACATCTGTTTCCTTATCTCCGTCTTTGTCTTCGTTGACATAAATGTGATCTGTCCAAAGTTTGATTTAAAATAGTTATCCATAATCGCTTTTTTATCCTTAAAATTTAAAAATTTCACTATTATTATTCCTTTTTTTCTTGAATCTCTTGTTTCTCTTTTTCCCATTCTATGGGCTCTCTCAATGTTTATATTTTCCTTGAATCCAAGTTTTAAAAGTTTAATGACTTGATTTCATCATTTCATTATAGAGGGTTGCAGTTAGAGTTTGGTTGTTGAAATGTAACCTTTTAACAGTTCAATCTTTGAATTCTTTGTAAAGTAGCTCTTGTTGCTGTTTATTATAAGCAATTTTAATAATACTTAGGGTGCTCTATGATGTTTTTTTTTATGATGTTCCATTTATATTAGAATGCCCACTTTATTTTATATTAATGGGTTTTAGTTTTTTCTTCTAAAATATCTTTTATTTAAAAAAGTTTATCTCATAATCAAGTTACAAATAGCAAAAATACAATACGAATTATTTTTTTTAGTATCCTTGTTGTATATCTTAAAAAAATAATAAATTAAAAACAATAAATATTTTATTTAAAAAAAGCAAAATTAGCACGTAGGTAGCTCGTACTATACAGTATTACCCTCATGTATGGCACACTTTATGTTAAGCGCTACCATTAAGTAATACCTATCTCCCACACCATCTTTTATTTTCTTCGACTTTCAATCCTAGTAAAAATAAAGTCCTATGAGTGCCGGATCAAGGGGTGTAGGGTAGTAGGGGCCATTTATGTGGGAAGAGGGCTATTAATTTAGGGGCCCCCAAAAATTTTAGAAGATCTTTTTTATTTTATTTTTATTTTTAGTCATTTTTAGACTCCGGCCATAAAAAGGCCTCCAAAAACAAAAATAGCCCCGGGCCCCAAGAAGTCCTTATCCGCCACGAGTCCCATAAAAAAAGTTCTTTACTTTTGCAAATACTTCCATTCACATCCATTTATTTAACCCAAACACCAAATTATCCAGGATATTTTGGTGTTTGGGTTAAATAACTTTCAGGTATATTCTAAACTCCACACTTTTACATGCTTAAACCTAATTCATTAAAAGATGTTTTGCCCAAAATTGCGCAGATTAGAGCCTGGGAACAAAAAAATGTGAAAGAAAGTGGTACTTCCAAAAAAAATTACTTCCTCTAATAAGACTGAAATAATTATATATTTGAATTTCATTAAAAAATTATTTGGCATTCAAAAGTTATAAATATTTAAAGTTACAACCCTTAAAACAAGGGGGCTGTTAACTCAAAATTAGGTAAAATTTCTAAACAATTTAATATTTTTCAATACAATTTTAGAACCCTGAAGATGTTTCCACCTAGTTTAGGATATTAAAATTTATTTATTGAAAAACCAATTCCTTTTATAATTTGGTGGTTGCTGCCTACTTTTTCGGGTATTTTTGGTTCCCAGGCTCTAAACAGCACAATTTTGGGAAAACATTTTTATGAACACACAAAAGGTTGGAGTTTAGAACCTACCTCAAAGTTACTTATAGGAAGTCAAGTATGAAAAAAATTCCAAATCCGCCCCCGAATAGTCGCATATATAGTTTTTAGAGCGAAATGGTTTCCACTTTATGTGCAAATAGCATTGTTTGATTAAAAAAAGTCAATAGGAGTTAGGAGATAACTTAAAACTCGTATTTTCTTTGGTTTTATGATTTTGGCGAGATTTTTGGCATTTTAGACCACTGTGCGGCGTATGAAAATTATAGAAGCATTTGATTTACGAAGCTCGCAAACCGGAACGCAGGTGATATATGCAAACACCTTTATATTATATATAAACATTTAAACACATAAGTCATTAAAAGCTAAAACAATTTTTTTTTTAACTGCTATAATCTAAAGTATTATAGTATTATATATATCAAGTACTATTTTAATTAAAAAGCTTTTAACTTTGATTTATCGATTAAAAGAGAATGCTTGATTATTTGCAATTACGTATAATTCTCGGAATTCTGAAAAACCGTAAGACAATGCCTTACAGTGTTATCAATGATTGGTTTAACCTCGCAATTTTCAATGAGTAAAACTAATATAATATTGTATTAACATAATTTATTTATTGAAAATGAATTTAATATAAACTTCATTTTACTTTGGTAATTTTAGCTGAATAAGCTTTAATGACAGAAAGACCTATTTTTGTTGCTATTTTATTATTATTGTTGTTATTATTATTTTTAATAATAATAATAATAATAATAAAATAGCAACAAAAATAGGAAAAAAAATAAAATAAAAATACAGTAAATAATAATTATAAAAGTCAGTTGTAAAACATTTTGATAATCTTTTGTATAAGTAATATTGTTTTTGGTTTTGCATAGCAGTTTGAACGAAGTGTGATTCATTTTCAGCAAAAAGTACAACGATGGGTTCGAAAAAGGTTATTGATCGCGAATACATTCAAAAAGTTCTTTTCATTCCTATTGCTATAATAGCCATAATATCTATTATCTTGGTTTTTTTGGTTATTTCTGGTTCTATCAACATACAAAAGTATAGTTTTTTCCGTAAGTTTTTTTTATTTCATGCTTTAATAACTTGAAATGTTGCATATATTAACAGAGTAGCATTCTGCATCAGTTAAATTGTTGAATAATTATACCTTGTATTAGAACTTGTCATAAGACAAATCTTTTATATTATGTTACATATAATAATAGTTTCACAATTTTTTTATATTTGTGTTTATTTATACTGAATTAAAATACATATGATTTAAAAATGTTTAATTAAATGAGAAATTATGAAATTATTAAATAATTAAAAAAATATCTACCTAGACAGCTTATAGCCTCAGTTCCTAAATTAATGTAGTAAATGCTTTTTATATAACTTTGCAAAAGTTTACTGTTCAAATAGACTGACTCTAAAAACTCGAATAATCTTACTTGTCACACAAGTTTGTGTCCAAAAAATAATTCATTTTTTGACAGTAGTCTGAAATATTAATTACAATTATGATAACCTACGCATATTAACAATTGAATAATTGAATAAAGAAAAATAAAAGATCATATAAATATAGATTATTTTTCATGTTGTTTATAAATTTTCTTGCACTGGCTGTAATGCCAGTTATATTAGAGAAACTTCAAGACATTTAGCAACTAAAATTATTGAGCACTTTGAGACTGATAAAAAGTCCCATATATATAAACATTTAATTACATCCTTTAATTGTATAAACCTGTCAAATTGTAACTCATTTAAGATTTTGGATACAGCTTTAACTAAACATAAATTAAAAGTAAAAAAAGCGCTTCACGTTAAATGGGAAATACCTTCACTTAACAAATAAACTTTCCATTATAACATTACCCTACCTATTTAACCGAAATAACAGTTTATTTTATTTTGATTGTATTAATTGATTATTTACTCATTGATTTTGTAATTATTTATTGGTTTATAACACATATTTTTTGTTCATTAATATTTCTCTGTAAAGTCTTCTGTTATCTAATATTATTTCCAGAGTTTTTTTAATTGTAAAAAACAATCTTTTGAAAATGTAATGCAAAATTATGAAACATGTTAAGATTTAAAATTTTAACTTTATGCTATTACATCATTCAAAATTACACACACACACACACACACACACACACACACACACACACACACACACACACACACACACACACACACACACACACACACACACACACATACAAACACAATTTTTCTTGTTTTAAAAAGTTAAAAACAAGAAAAATTATGTTTTAGGCTCTGAAAGTGAAAAACAAGCACAAGTCCAGTTTAACAACAAACTACAGTTACAAGTAACTTCCATTAATGATAACTTGGGTACAATTCAAAATTTTATGGTAAGCTTTTTTTTTTATTACAAATATGTCAAATATTTTTTATCACAAATATAATAAAATAGGGTTACTATATGTAATTACTTTTAGTTATAACTTATTACATAAAAAATAAACAAAGATTTGAGTTTTGATTGTAAAGTTCACTTGGAAATGTTAATGTATTAGTATTGGTATTAGCAGCTTAAGTTACACATAAAAAAAGTTTTATTGTCGTTTTTGTGTAAAGCATCTCATCTGTTGCAGGTAACTATGTTAAACGCCAAAGAATGTGAAAGCTATAGTAACTTCTGGACAGCATTTTCATTTTGCAGTTTTGTTCGATTATTAATTTTAAATTTTGTTCAATGTATTTGTTCAAGCTATTTTTAAAAGAGTTTGTACTTTGCTACATTACAACATTGTATTGTAGTGAATTCTAAATGGAAGCAACTCTATTGTTAAAGAAATGAAACCGTTGAGCACAATTCTTTATGGTTTCTCTGCCGTATTGTAAACATTGGCTTGTGGAGAAACCTTCATAGGTTCTGTGTGTTAGACTATTTTTTTTCTAGTGATAAAGATTTAATTGCATTTAAAGTTATGAAGATTGTGTTGTATCTTTGAAGCACATTTTTAAATGTTCTCTAAAGTTTTAATATCTTTTTTTAATAAGGCAACCATATTGACAATAAATATCAGTCTTTTCTGTTTGAAATTTACTGCCAGCACACGAAAAAGCACCTGTCGGACAGTAATTATTTGTGCGGCGTGTGCAATTTTAAAAGATATTTATTTTTTGTACCTCTTTAATTAAAATTTGATTAAGAAAACAGATTTGTTGCAATTGAAATTTTTTGGCGAGCGCTTAAAAAAGCGCCAGCTGTAATATTGATGGGTGTGTGGGCAAAACTGCAAAAACATGAAAGCGCTCGTTAAACAAAGAAGACTGATGTATATATATATATATATATATATATATATATATATATATATATATATATATATATATATATATATATATATATATATATATATATATATATATATATATATATATGTATATATATATATAAATGGGCAAATTAATTTTTTTTTAAATTTATGCTGACAATTAGTTTATTGCGTGTTAAGATTTTATTTTGAAAAAAAAAATAATTGTGAAACAAGAGAAAAACAAGATAAAAAATGCCATTGCATAATGGGTAGCTACAATCTGCAGGCCAATTAGTATTGGGAAAGATGTCAGTCTAAAGATTTTTATTAGGATTTCCATGGCCTACTTGAATATACAGCCTTCTATTCTGCTTAAATAAAAAATTAAATAAAAGGCCAGCTTAAAAATTGGACATTCTGTCAAACAAACAAACATTCTCAAAATATTTAAACTTTTGCCCTAAAAATTTAAGTAAATCTGGCATTGAATAAAACTTTTGCATTAGGTTAATCAAAATTTCTACTGAATGTCACTTAATTGTGGTTTCTTTAGAGTAATAGATAATAATTATGGTTAGTAAATGCTGCGTTGTTGGTTGTCTGGACTACTTCACTACCAATATAATCTCAAATTATATTGGTAGTGAAGTAGTCCCAGTTTTTTTTTTATTCAAAAAATGATGATTTAAGAAAATTATGAATTAGACTTGTCAAAAAAAATTTCTTAAAGATTATGAGGAAAACTTAACACTTAAAAAAGCATCAACAGATGGAAGCCTGTTCCTAAAATATACCCAGGCTAGCGTAGCAAGTGCTTCTCTTTCAGTTCAGTTATATCTGAACCAAGAAAATCACCAATTAAAAATTATTTCAGGGGTCAATGTTATAAAACTTTTTATCGGCGTAAAATTCTACCGGCGGAATTTTTACTCAGGAATTTTTACAGCCGTACATTTAGAGACGTAAAATGTTTTTTCATTCGATGTTATAAAACTTTTACCGGCGTAAAATTTTGAAGATATCTATGCTCTGAATTTATTTTCGGAAATCTACTGTCTGAATCAATAACTTAAAAGGTTCTCAAAAACAAAATGTTTTTGAGTTGAAAACATCAAAGTTAACAAAAATTAACAGTTTCTTATGGATTCGGACTTAGACTGTTCTGATTCTGATGAAGAATATTTTGTTGCTTTAGAATATTTGGCAAATCAGAGACAACCACGAGAAGTAAAACTGTTCAAACAGTATTTAAACTGTTAAGAATACAATTTAAAAGTAATAAAATGGAATTGTCATTAACTTTTCACCCTACCCTATAACAAAATTTGTATAGCTTTTTTATAAAAATAATTTATACTATTTTCTATATAGAGGTTTCTTTAGACCAGAGTTATTAGTTCTTGGCCTTGACCGTGCCTTAAGACCAAAAACCAAGGCCTTGGCCTTGAAACTTTTGGCCTCGGCTTTTAAGTTTTTGGCCTTGACCTTGATTATTTTGGTCTTGGTCTTTATAATAAAATACATAAAATTAAAGAATTAAAAGTTTTTATTCTTTTTTTTACGTAATTAATTAGGTACTTTATCATTC